GTCTCACTATATTTTGGTGTAGGACTTACTTTCATGTCAGCATTATACCTACATTTGTCACTGAATCAAGAATGCGAGAGATTTATTTCTTTTATATTTCTCCTTTTTTAGTAGTTCTTCCTTGACACAGAATCTTAGCTTGATTTTTTTTTTTTGACTGTAAACAGATTTCAGTTTCTCCTTTTTCAAAATGGAATATACATACCTGCAGTGAAACACGGTCCCCTGATGTCACAGTCATGCCCAAGGCAGAGACAGTCATGGCAGAGATGGTTTTCCTCTGCTGCATATATCTATCTCAGTTATTCTGCAAAACACTAAACTATTAATTTTTTTACCAAAATAGTAAGATCCACCAAGAATTAGCCTTCCTCCTTCAGCTCCACTCAGCAAATTATCTGAAGTCCCTTTATAAACCCCTTATATATGTGTGTTTTTCTATTTATGAATATATACAATGTAGGTTTATATACAGTATTTGTAATCATTTTGTATATCTGTAGTAGGTAAGGGGTATATATGCCTCATAAGTAGTATTAACAAGAATTGGAAGATTTAGAAACTTCTTTGTGGAGAGCTCTTGAACACTTTTAAGTGAAAGATCATATTATAAATGTGGGAAACCTTGGTTCTCATACTGAACACATTGCAGAAAACTTGGTAACTTGACCTGCATATGATGGAGAGAGAGAGGAGTGACGACAGAGTAGTGAATAACAAAGGAAAGATGAGATTTGCTTTGGGGCCATTAAGAAATTGAGGAGAGGAGGTGGGTTTTTTTCTTCTTATTTTGCTAAACTTTTGCTTTAATCATATTTTTCCCCCAAGGTTTGTTTTCGTCCAGATTTTCCAGTTGATACCCACTGTAACTCACTTGGAAATATCTTGTTTTGCAAGCCCTGGAATTTATGTTATTGACTGTTATCTGTTGCTGATTACCTGCTGAGAAAGGAAGCAGTATTGTTGATTATTGTAATAGAAGACCAATTTTTCCTTTATTCCTAAACCAATATATCAAATCTGATTTCTTATACAGAAAGAGTTCCATATAAAGATTACGGTGTGTTATTTACAACACCTCAGAACGACACCTTAGAGATGCAGAGCAAATTTTTCTTTTAGCTATACAAAATAAGCTGATAGAGGTATTAAATTTCAGGTATAGAAGTACAAGGAACATACAGCATGGCAGAACAAGTGCTTGAACAGAGTTTGTGACTGAAAATTAGTACCTGTTTACTTTGTCTATCACCTATTTTGTTTTTAAGTAACTTAAGCAATCATTTTTTTTATATTTCAATTTCTCAACCTGCATAACAGCACTTTACCTGGTCCACAAGGGTGTATGGACTAGGCTTTGTAAAGTGCTGAGAACCTCCCTCTGGCAAAACCCAATATATCTTCAGAGTATTATTTATCAGCTCCAGTAGCTCTGCCTCAAACACAGAACTTCCTTACAAAGGTATTAGTGCCAGGTGGTTAATCCCTTTTCTCGTAGGTGTTTTCACTTTCCTAGCTCTATTGCACTAAAAGCTGGACCTCAAGCATCTCTCTAGGTGAATTTGACAACATTGGAGAATGACTTCACTCTGTTTAAAACCTTTGTTTTATATGGTTACTGTTATGTTCGGGACTCTACAATGGGTTTTGGTTTCATTTTTTTTTAATGTAACTCTTTGTTTTACAGATGAGGGCAGGAACGCAGTTGACCATGCAGGTGGTGCACATATTGTAGTAGACCATATAAGGTCACTGTGCAGTAAAACAGATCCAGCCAGTGAGAAGCTCTTGACTGTCTTTTGTGGCATGCTGATGAACTATAGCAATGAGAATGGTAAACAACACCAAAAATTTGCTTTATGTCTACCAGGAGAACAACCCCATCAAAGAAAGAGATAAAATAAAAGTTAAAGTCAACTGTAGGTTTACACTGTGGATACTAACACTAAGTTATTCTGAAAAGATCAAGTACCTCAATTCATGTATGCAATTTTCTGTTCAATTAAAATTATATTCCCCTAAATACTAGATATCTTCCTGATGGAATTCCATATAACGTATTGTATAAAGTTCTAAAGTCAACATCTGAAATGTATTGCTTTGTCTAAAAACAATACATGGAGATGTATCACACGCCTTAGGAAGAAACAGATTTACAGAAGTAAACTAGAAGGCTGCATTAAGTCCTTTCTTTTTCATTTAGTATTAAGCACAACCATAAGGTTAATTTGCTGCAGGCATGCAGCGTTGTCTTGATGATTTGGGGGTATGTATACCAAGCAGTTTTCCTTAGTCATTTTTCTCCATGTGAAATGTATATAAAACCACATTACTTTTTCTTAGACAAATGAGGAATAATTTATGTGTATGTTCAACAGTGTTCTGTGTCTACAAATTACAAGTTTGTGTTCTTTATCCCATGAAATGGAGATGTTTAGAGACTGGGACAAAAACACAAGATAGTATTTTAAATGAGAAGTCCTTGACCATTGAGGGTAAAAAAAGGGAGTTCTACACCAGTTGTACAAACATATTGATATTTTAGTATAGAGTTGGCTTCTGTACACAAGCGTGTAATATGCCAAGGCATATTTTACAGTGTTCACACATTTCCGAGTTTTTCAAAATTTGAATCTCTGAGAAAATTGGGATAAATGAGGAAAGCTAAATAGAGGCTGTTCTCCTGACTTGAAACGGCACAGATTGCAAATGTAGTTAGCTAATTACATTCTTTCTTCAGTCATGCCCATTTCCTGAATTGTAGTGTTATCTTAGGAAGAAATAGCTTCTTTATTAGCTGCTCACCATTTTCTTAAAGTAACCGCTTTCTGTAATTCACTTTCCAAACCTGTGTCCCCCAAACTCTTCTACTTTTCAAGGATGGTCTGTAGGCTTAACTTTTTGTTGGTTTTACCTTTACTGTATACATTTTTATCTGCTTTATAATCTCTTCTAGCATAGTTTCCTTGTGTGTTTTCTGTGGCAATTCTCTGGAGCTCTCAGCTTTTAGTGTTACTTACCCACTTCCAAATACCACTGTTGCATGTGTTTCATCTCTTGTTCCTACATTCCTTTTTTCTCCTCTTTCACTGGTATTATTTAAGAATACTTCTTTACAGCACTTCTTCCTTCTCCTCCAAATAGCAGCTTTCTAGTGCCTTTATTTCATATGGTTTTCAGGAACTGTTTTGCTTGATGTCTGCATGAGTGTCACATTTTATCATATTTCATAGTGTTAACTCCCTGTTTTCTTTATTCATTAAAATATTTGGAGCAAGTAGATATTCTCACCTTTACACTTTCAGAATCATCTGGATTAATTAGAACTAGTAAGCATCCAGTATATTTGGTAGCTCAAGACAGAAGAGTCCAAAAATGCTGTGTAGAGGTAGTGTATCAGTTTTGCTTCGGTGACCAAACTCCCCACAGATCTTCCCTATGAAAACAATTATGAGATAAATCTCCCAAACAAGCAGTTTCTGAACAGTATAAGTGTTATGAACATTGAATAAATGACTTATTCCATCTAGCAAGACATCTTATTCTGATGCAATCAATAAAGCAGTTGTGTAGTTCAGTGACAACTAGGAGGATTCACTAGCTGCTCTCTGCTCTGCTAAACAACATCTTTCATCTCACACAAACTAATGAACTGATGCAATATTCACAGGAGCCACTGAATAAGTGTCAGAAGTGAGAAATGCTGAAGTATTTCCAACTCCTGGGCCTGGGAGGACACAGGACACTACCCTGTCCTACCACCATGTCAGGGAAGAATACTGGGGGCTTACCAAACCTTTCCCTACCCCACATATTTGGTGTTCTCCATCCATCAAAAAGGGCCTTTTGGTGGGGACTCAGCTTCTCTTTGGCCAAGCACCCATGGGTATGCTGTGTAAGACTTGTGTCCTCTAGTTTCATTGTAAACTGGGTCACTGACTGGACAACCACTGAATTAAACCCTAAATAATCTGCCAAATCAAAAAAAAAAAAAAAAAATAGTGAGTCAGAGGCTTAAATTTTTGGAAGAGATCTCAGTGGCCGTACCTGCAGCATGTGAATGGCAACACGGGCAGGTGACCTATCTTGCCAGCTTTGTCTTAAGAGCTGCAAGTACAATTGGACCATAGTTGTGAACTGCTCTAAAAATATCACCTGTGGACCATTGTAAACTTCCAAGACAACAGTCAGTGTCACATGTGAGCCCAAGACAACCACTTGCTTCCATGCATTGCACCATCAGATGGATAATATTCTGAGTAAATGCAATTCATTACTGACTTAAACTCAGATTGCCCCGACAGTTACCTGTGCTCCAGGTTAGCAGATTCACTTAAAAGACTTCATCCCATGTTACTTACAAAGAAGGTAAACGCTGCCTTGGTTTTGCTGAAGGATGAGGAGTATGGGATGGCAGCCTAGTGTCCCAGATTGCTTTGTCTGTAGTTATGGAAACAAATTAGACAGAAGAAAAAATATTAGAAATGCAAGGTGGAAGTTTTAGCCTTTGAAATAGCACTTCTACCTTCTTTTCTTGTTTCTGTAATCTTTCCCCGCTTAGCATGCTATGGTACAAAATTACAAGCGGGGACTTTGAAGGTTTCTTTACCACTTTTAATGACTCGTGTTCTTATAAGTTGCACTAGCTATCCAGATAAGGACAATTAAAGCACATTGGGTTCTTAGTTGCATCTAGTTACCTTTGAACACCATAATATTTTCAAGTCCTTAACATTTTACAAGCAAGGAGTATCTAAGTTGTTTTATTTCATTCTAAACAGTTCATCATTCCCAGTCAGCTAATTGCCCACTTTTTCCAATAGCTAATACTTTATAATAGCTATCAACTACCTAATTTTTTTAACATTGAGACACTCGGTTTTGAGTACTTTTAAGTTTTTCAATTTTCATAGGGATTTGTCGCACAAGTTTTTACAAAACCAGCAACTAAAGAGCAGCTTTTCCTAAACTGAGCAAGTTAATGGAGCACTCTTGTATCTTGTCCCTATTCTGGACACTCAGCTTGAATTGTAACTACATTTATGATGCTGTTATCTGAGCTTTAAAACTAAGATTCTCTTGACAAGGTTCTTATGCCATCTGCTGTGTTCAGGAATTATTTTTGCCTGCTGTCTCTCTGTTCTCCCTTTGCCTCCTTGGTATTTTATTTCATTAGCGGCTACACAATGTGAACAGAACAAACTTGGCTTTGGCATCTCTCGCAGTTCTTTTAAGCCTAAAAAAAAGGAAGTGTCAATTTTTAATTGCATTGCTAAAAATCAGAGGGTTTTATTGGATGGGATGCGTCCCTTTGTCTTCAGCCGGGATTATCTTTACCCTCTCTGTGATAATCATATTTTACTATCCAAATTCAATCTGGCACAAATAGCTCATTCCTGCTGTCCATTAGTTCTTAAAATTCAAAGTTGCAGGTATGGGTAGGAATGAAACACACATGTCACACGCGTTTATGCATGGTTTTGCTCATAGCTTAATCCCAAAAGAAGCAAACTAAAGCGAAACCAAAAGAAGGTTTTGACAAAACCCTAGAATAATTCCTTCTTTGACAAGCTATGCAAACTTTATTTGGCTTAAAGCTGCTGTTTCGACACCTTTAAGGGGGTTTAGTACATTGTCGTGCTTCTCCCATTCTGAAGACTGTTATGTATAGTCTGTGTGTAGCTATGAATCTGCTTAAGAGCAAGAGGCAAAGCAGACTTGGATAAAAGAATGAAAAGCTAATCTAATAAATAATCTAATAAAACTAACAATCATATGCAAATACTCATGTGAAAGAGCAACATGAATAGTTATTTTAGTGGGAGGTGTCCCTGCCCATGGCAGGGGGGTTGGAACTAGATGATCTTAAGGTCCTTTCCAACCCTAACTATTCTATGATTCTGCAGATCTCATAATCCTGTGAGCCAAGACTATTTACAGGTTAATGGTTTCAGTCTATAAGGTAACTAATTGTCTCCTGAGATTTATAAAAGAAACCACAAAAGCATTTTTAAAGAAATGCAGAAATAATGGAAGAACTAAGCCAGTTGGTTTATTAGGTAGTCAAATTGGAGATCAGAAGTTTACTGGATACAGCATGCATGTGTGAAAGTATGCATATGTTTATATATGGGTGCATATATGTAGATAAAAATAATTATGTTTATAATTGCTTCCTCATCTCATTTCATATTAAACTTCAGTCTGTCAAGGTTGTCTTTCGTTCGGTGCCTTTGTGAGATGTAACATTCTGATGTCAAATCGTACAACTGCCAAGCCCTTCTTATTCTCACAAAGCTGTTAGTGACTGGAATGAATGTTGGGGACTGATTTGCACTGTTTAGTATTTGCAGAAGCTATGTAAATGCACAAGAAATGAAAGGGAGATTTATGGCACCATTATTATGGTCTAACAGCAATATTTCAGTAATGCCTCTTTCTAAGACTTCTCTTTGCTGATTTTCATGCTTGCCATGGTTTTTGTTTCATTTACACCAAAGCTAAAGATGTCTAGCATGCTTTCAAGACCTAAGTATACTTAAATGCAAAGGAACCTAAAGCATGTAAGACCAAATAAAAAGTATGTTTTTTATGATAGTAAGATAATCAAAACAATTACTTATGCTATATGATGATTTAACATAGACGTGGGGATCACAAGCAGGTTTCTCTAGGGTATGAAATTATGCCACCAATTTGTACAAAATAAATTTTCCTTTAGCATTATAATCACAGTTACTGATGAAACACAAAATGACTTTTGTTTTCTGAAATTCTGTCCAAAATCATGAACTAGCCTAAATCGGCATTTTAAATTCAAATGCCCCCAATAAAGTTCTCAATTTGGGATATTCTCCCCAGATCTTACTCTTTGGAGCTTCCATGTGTGTCACCGAAGGACATGGAGCCATTGAAATTCAAGTTTTCGGTAGGTAATTCTTTGTGCTGGCGCATGTATTGATTGCCTTTTATCTACCTGTATATGCATCTGTACAGCATCACTGTCAGTGCTTTTCACCCCGAGAGAACACAGAGGCATCTTACTAGTGCAACGTGTGATAGCGATGTAAAATTTGTGAGAGTTTCTTTTGTGGCTTTCAGTCATAAATTCAGAAGAGGCATTTGGTTTTCATGCTTCCTGCTCACTATGCATAAAGTTCTGCTTAGGAAGCTCATAGAAATGCTTGTTTCATCCCGAGACATGATGTTGCCTGGCTTCATGGCTCACTTTAGTCCTGTGCCAGGCAACTGCTTGTAGGATGGATGCATGTGGCCCCTGAGTTTGTCTCATGCTCTAGTAGGGCCTTAACACTTCCTGCAGAGAAAGACTGAGGCACGCAGTTATTCCAAGTTACCCAGTCTGCAGTCTTTCATAGGACAGCCAGAGAACCGCTGGCGGTCCCTTCAGCTAAGACTGAACCACTTAGATGGTTTTAATTTCTCTGAACTAAAAAGTTCTGCAGGTCTCCATACCAGTGAGAAGCCTAACACTTTCCTCTTACTTGACTTTGCTTTTGTATTTACTAGAGAAAGAGCCTCTTACTGGTGGTAATGACAGATGAAAATGACAACCACAGAATTCGTATGGCCAAGCCAGTGTTTAGGAATAAACATTGCAAGTAGCCCCTGGCAGCCTTTTATTTTCGAAGGTTTTGCCTCTTGTGCAACTTTGTGACTAGGAGAGTGGTCCTGACCTAGGCAAAAGAGAAAATCTATCCTTTCACTTACTGCTGTTAAAGCATCGATATTTACCTTATTGGCAGTTCCTATAATCCCGTTCTTACCACTGTAGACCATTCCTGTGCTTAGGTGCCATCTTTTTACAGTCCAGGCAAATGAGAGGTACAGAGTCAGGTATAATACCTGACTTTTGACCCAGTACAATTGATCTTTCTTGCTCTGTTTTCTTTTTCCTTTTCTCCTACTTGGGAATTCTGGAGGCCCTTTAATCAGTGCGCTCATGCGCTCTTGAACAACAATATATCCTTCTACTTGCCTCTGAAAATTCCTATAATATTTCAAAGATGGATATGGTTTCCCTTTTTCTACTTGTCTTCTCCTCTGCTCTTTTCATATATTTTGTACTCAGAAAGAGACAGCAGAAAAAAAATGAAACCTGCTCAAAACAGAGTTTATGCTTCTGATGTCAGAACGTTTTGCCAAATGAAGCCCATAGAGATTGTTTCTTTGTCCATTACAGTTGGACAAAGTGATTTTAGAGTGACTAAAGGCATAATCTAGTAACAAAGCAGTTTCTTTCCACATCATTTTCTATGGCATTTGTGGTTTGTGTCTTTGTTCTCCTACTCTCCATGACTACCATTTTTCCTTCAAAATTTTTAAGTGCCTGCAGGGGACAATCACAAACCGAGGACAAAAACAGATTATTTACCAGTAACTCGAGTTCTCCTACATGATCATTTTCTCCACAGAACCATTCCATCTACCCCCTCCCTGATTTTCCTATTCAGAGAGAGCTTTTTACAGTCAGTTGGGAACAAAGTAGGAGGGTGTGGTAGTGACTCACACATCTGCTGGAGGTAAAATGGCATTCAATGCATGCGCTAGTGCAATTTGTACTTACCTGAAATTTGACAACTTCAACAGCTCTTTGATGTCTGACATGGCGTTCTCATAAATTTCTCTAAAGACCACGAATCTGTGGAAGAGGTAACCCCTCCCCCCCCCCAAAAAAAAAAAAGAAATTCAGTTACTGGTAAGTAATACAGTTTTATTAACAATGTGAAGCTATAAGGATTCCTGCTTATCCCCGGTAACCTGTAGTAACCATGCCAGTTACTTATTTAGTGTACCAAATTGATCATCATTACTAAAGTATTTAACACTGAATATAAATGAACTAAACATTCCAGAATCTCTTCATAATTTTTATTATATGAAAATTTCAAAGCATTCTTGACAGAATCTTGAAGGCAAAGATTTTTCCGAGAGCCCGAGATGATACTAAATTTGCTAGACTTAAGATGTAAAATGCTTTTATCTCCCTGTAAAATTTGCAACTTTTATGGCTCTGATTCCAGAAATACAAAATCTCCACCAGATTTCAGTTGCTCAGAATGAATTCCTTTAAAAGTAATACTAAATTCCCCTGTAGGCCTTCACCCAAAGCTAAATGAAGTAATTCAGTTCTCTTGAATTCACTGGGCTTTGGATCCTTCATTGAAGTCTGTAACATTTAAACATAGTTAAAGTGCTTAGAAACAAAGGAAAAAAGATGCTTAGGGAAATTACTAAACAACATCTGGTGTGTTCATGTCTGCTTCATTCTATTCAACTGTGAAACAATGTTTTTCTTCTTTGCTGTGTTATAGGTAAAATGTGTAAGAGAAAATATCATTATAAATAATCTTTTAAAACAATCATGTCTCTGCCTAACCATCAAAGCATCTTTCTATTTGCAGACATCTAGGAGCAATAACTTTCTTACTTGTAAATACTATAAGCTTTCATCCTATGCAAGAAATTATCAGAATGGCTTCTAAAGACTCTTCTTAAACCTTCCATTTTTTGTCCTTATTAAACTTTCTTTTTTCTCAAGCTCCTCATAATCTACATTGTGACTTCCTGTGTTTATAAAACTTTTCATGTTTATTTCAGTGCCAGTTTATATTCATTCTAATTTTCCAGTTTTGATCTTTAAGGGAAAACAGTATATAGGAGCAAGCTCTCAAATAATTATTTCATTGACATAGTTTTGTTTGATTTCAGTCAGCTAGTCTCAGTGAGCTCAGAATGAAACCCAACCTGATAACCAAAAAATTATCAGTAGCTGCATAATTCACTATACCCTATGACCAGATTAGGAGGGAATATTTCTGGGAACACATCCATTGCGAGAGGCAGGGGAAATTATGAGTCCATAGCTCAAGTCTGGACCAAATTCTGCTGTAGAATAGTAGAGGAGACAGACATTGTAATGCTGCTTAGCCTAGAAGTTGCATTGTGTGAAAAATGCTTTTTTGGTTTAAAGAATAGTACTACGAACAGAAATGCTAACTCACTGTTGTCTCTTCTTTTTATGTAGATACCCTGCAGTCACAGCTTATCAATATGGGTGTTATTCCTACGTTAGTGAAATTGTTGGGTATTCATTGCCAAAATGCAGCTCTGACAGAGATGTGCCTTGTTGCATTTGGCAATTTAGCAGAACTTGGTAAGTCCATAATATTAATCTCAAATTTATATCCAGTTTTCATAAAGTTAAATATTAAGACTAATAAAAGCCTTGCACTGATGCTTTTTGTGAATTCAAAATGTAAAGCAAACAGTTTCTGCTTATTGTCTCTAAAATCTATAGTTGTCTCCCCCCCCCCCCCCCCCCAACTGAAATTTATTTGGGTACTTAGAGCAACCTTATGGTTTACGTTAACATTTTTCAATGCAACTAAGCACACTTTAAATCATCTAAACAGTATTTCCTGAGCACAGCTACTTACTGTGAATTATTTATTAATAATATAAATAATGTATCCCAGTGTAGCTCCACAAAGTTATATCAAGATTAAATTTGGCTCATGGAAACCACCGAATGAACTGAGACAGGCAGAGTTCATAAATCTGCCTGTACAATATTGGTCCAGATGTAGAGTTTTAGCATGTTCCAGTCTAAATATTTGCATGTATAAGCCATGAATACTACTACTAAGCTGTAGATGTTATTTTTAGCAAGTTCAGTTACAGCTTCATGTAAATTGAAGTTTGTGGTCTTGCTTTGATCCAATGTCTTCATAAGTGTAGTTTTCATTGGAATTCCACCAAGTGTAAACCAACAGGTTGTTAGGGCCTGTGTTTTATCATCACTTGTGTTGTACATTGCTGTTCTTTTGCTAAACAATTCCATGAAATTTTATTATACAAGGGTTTTTTTTTTGCACTGGAGTACAGTAATACAGCAGTTATGATAACATCCTGTATTTCTAAGATAATTCAGCAGTTCAAAACATGAAAAATTTATCTGTGAGTTTGTACTATTTGGTAGCCAAGTTACTCACAATTGAAGTTACTCACAATTGTCCTAAATTCATAGATTTCAAGGCCAGAGAGAATATAACATTCTCCAGTGCAGTCTAATTACATGTATAGTACCTTTGCTTATAGCAGGCAAGTCTTCTTAACAAATCTACAATAGAAAGAGCCATCAAAAAAGCACCAAAGAAATTAATAGATGAAAGATCTTCAAGATGGGCACTATGTATTGTGTTTGCACAGCAGAAAATATAATGAGTTGTATACTGGAAATTCTAGTGCTTAAATGCAACTAAAGCCATAAGGATATTAAATATAATAAATGCAGTCTTTACGGAGAACTGTATTTCCTTTCCCTGTTTAGAAAGATCCAGTTGGGTAATAAGAACCATGGGAAAGAAGCTTAGTGGCAGCTGCTTGCCTTCCTGTTCCCATACACAGATAAAGATGCTTGTTCTTTAAGATTGGCACAAAATTAGTTTAGCTTGTAATACTTTAATCTCCCTTAAGGAATAGCTTAGTCAATCACATCATAACTGTAATATTTTATTTTTGCCTTGTAACTTCAGGGAATTTTATTCTGAGGTTGTCAGTTTTCATCACTTAAGAGACAACTGCATTGCACAGATCCCTTGAGAAGCATTATATGAAACTTATTCTGTGTCAAAGCAGGGCAAGAGCCCAATAAATAGAGTGATGGTTCTGCTTTTAAATATACTGGAAAGGTCAAAAATCTACTTATAATATGCTATGCAGTCTTCATATTGAGAGAAAACAATAATGGGATGTGCACAAAAGGGTCTAGGTCTGCACTTCATGGTTTTCCCCAGTCCTTTGGGTCACTTCTACATTAAAATAATCCCAAGGCACTCATTAGAGCAGTAGCAAAGGTGCTGGAAGGTTTTCTAACTACAGATGGCTCTCAGGAGGTGGCAACTGAAGAATACAGAACACCAGCCCTACCACCTGCATCCCCTGTAATACTGCCAATGAGGAGGAATAAGATACAGGCAATGGAACAAGGGATGCTTTTGTTGAATCCATGTATGAAGAACTGTTATCTACTGGCTGACCTCCTAGTATTAAGCTAGCCCATCTGTAAAGCTGCTTTATGCTATCTGTTTAGCATGAAATGACCCTGCAACAGCCATGCACAGATTTCAAAGGAAGTGTCACTATCGTGAAACTATGTAAATGTTAAAGCATTCAGTATAACTCTTCCTCTGTCCCAGAAAAATGCAGTACAGAATCTGCTAGTTTTCCCGTTAAACTGAGGGCAATTAATAATACATAATATATGTATTTTTGTGATGTTCCTGTTTCTATAGCTACCTTTACGTGCTGTTGGGCAGAAACAGGCCCAACAGCATTGACCATGTATTTATGTACTTTTAAAAGCCTTGATTATCATCAGTTCAGGTCAGTGCATTTAACTGAAGTGCTAGACATTTTTCTTTTCATTTAATGACAAGCCCAAGTCTATTGTTCTTGTCTGTGAAGAGCACTATTAGTCATCTTACTGAATAAACCTGATAACAAAGAATAAAATAAGTCCTTCCTTTTGATGTGGTTTGTTTACTTGATACTGATTTTTTTCCTTTTGCTTCACAGAGTCAAGTAAAGAGCAGTTTGCCTACACAAACATTGCTGAAGAGCTTGTTAAGCTGTTCAAGAAGCAAATAGAGCATGATAAAAGAGAGATGATTTTTGAAGTTTTGGCTCCCCTGGCAGAAAATGGTGAGAATTGGATTTTTCTTTTTCCTTGTGCTATTTTTTATTCATTCCCTTATATATAATTTGGTATAGTGGTGTCTTTTTCAGGGACTAAATGCAGAGTAACTGGCTGCCTTGTCCAGAAGCCACCACAGCCGATCCTTTTGATGATATTTTTATATAAAGTGAATAGGTCTTAATTGTCTGAGCATGTGACAGGAGCCAGCAAATTGTTCTTGGCTCCTGTCAATAACAATCAGCCACCTCTGATTCACTCTGTAGATTATATTTTATTTCCCTGAACCTGCAGTGGGAATATCAAAAGCCACTTTTTAGAGGGCTTTACAACACTTGTTTGCAAAACACTGGCTCAAGTGCCCGTAGTCTGTTATAGCACCAGGACATCAGTCATTGCATCATTTCCTGGGATCATTGAGTCACTGGCAGTTCCATTACCCATGGACATTATTTTTTGCAGGGGGCACATTAATTGCAGAGCTAAGAGCTCAGCACTCTTCCCTCATTGTTCATTGAGAGATCATACAAATTTAATATGGGTGTTTGGTGGCATAAATTACGGTAGCCCCAGGAGACTTGAGTTTCATTCACTGCTCAGGCTGGAGCGGAAAGTGGTATGCGCCCAGTCACCCCTCCAGGATGTACTTCCACAAGGAGTTGTGTTTGATGGCTCTATAATCTTGTTTTAATCATCTCAGCATTAAAGTGTGTTTGAATGTAATAAATTATTAGGATTGTAAACTCTAAAGGTTTCGATTTCATCCTACTCTGTTGTACACATACACTCTGTCTGGGTCTGGTTTACGTAGTATAAATCAAGACAAATTTTTACTTCAGTCTAAAATTTATTTTAAGTGGTATATGAAAACAGGTTTCATTTTTTTAGTTCTAACAATGCACATTTTGCCAAAACATACTCATTTTTTATATCATAACTAGCAAGTTGCTCAGAAATAGTTCCATCCTTGGAGACTGACACTGAATTGGGTTGAACCTTTTGCAAGTTTGACATATTTCAGTTCAAATGCTTCATTTTTCTTAGACTGTGTTTTATGATTGCTACACAATTTGATAAGTTTACTGCTGCTGAACATAACTCAGGAGCTTGAATGTCAGAGGTAGTCAGCCAAACTTTTCCATCCTAGATTCAAGGCATACTTAAAAAGAGCTCACTGTGCGGGTACTGTCTAGGTGCTTTTGATTATAGATAATAGACAATAGGTCAAGAGCAAAACCATCTAAATGAAGTACTTACAGAATCTGGATTTTGGTGGTTGGGGGTTTTGGAGGTTTGGGTTTTGTTGCTGTTGAAGCACACTGCTGTAGCAATTTATATTTCATATCACAGAACATCTGCAACCTGGTGTTCTGTAACTAAGGGAACTCTATTTTTTAAAGCACCTCCGTGCAAGCGTGCCTATATAAAAAATCTCAGCTGGATATTTTGCATTCCCTAACAAAGTTCATGGGAAGGTCAGGCACTCTTAGAGGAACAATGAATTTTACTCAGGCAAAAAGCCTTGTGATAACAGGAAATTGAGAGTCAGACACATCCTTCACCAGAGATTAAACACTTCCGCACATCCAGCAAGCTTTGGCCTTGGAAAATATTTGAAGTTAGTTAAACTCCTCATTGTTGAAACACCATTCCAAGCAGAAAGCTGAGAGAAACCCATTTGTTTGCATATTTCTGCAGAGATTTGTGACTCTGCTGTCTAAAAATCAGCATGGAAAACCCACCAGAATCACTTCCACATAACTAAAAGACATCACACAGCGTCAACCAACCTGCCATTCCCACTTAACAGAAAGGGAGGTTAGGCATGTAAAGGAGATTGCTAGCTTCAAGTTCACAGGAAAATGTCTGTTAAAGATTGTGTTGTAGAAATAACACAAAAAATACTGCTCCCAAGTCCTGTTTCGCCACCTAAAAGACATGTTTATCACCTTATTTGTTGAGCCCTGTTGCAAATAACAACTAAGAAATCAGCTTGTCTCACAACCCAGCCTTTTGGATTTGGCCTTACAGTACTCCTCCTGCAGTCTTTCCAACAAATGGCAGAAATCTTGGCTCAGCTAAACAAAATGGGTGATTACTTGCTTAGATTTCATCCAGAAGTTTTGTATTTGGTACATGTATGTCTCCCTGAAGTCGGTAGCTCTTCTGCATGTGAAATAGAGTAAGAAACCCTAACTTTGTTCTGCCACACAGTCCAAAGTCTTTGGAAAGGCCAAACACAGCACAGTCCTAATGAGTCTGCTGCATGATGACTGAGATGATGACAGAAGTTTGCTGTAAAGAAATATCCTCATTTTTGAGAGGGGAAGAGCGGCTCCGTACAGTGTCCAGTGGCGCTCTAAAGGTGGTCCAGAGCTGGGGAATGCCTGGTAGATGAAAAATGGCAGAAGTTGGCCCTGAGAACTTAAATTAGTCACAGTTTTATCTACACAATCTGTCAGTGCCACCATTGACATCACTGCTTCGTTTCATGGTCTGTTTTGTATGTATGTACAGTAGATGTATTTAAAATCATGATTCTGAGCCCATTATCCATGCTGTTCTTCAGATGTCATTAAACTGCAGCTGGTTGAAGCTGGCTTGGTGGAGTGCCTACTTGAGATTGTCCAGAAGACTGTGGACAGCGACAAAGAGGATGATGTTGCAGAGCTTAAAACAGCTTCTGATCTTATGGTTTTATTATTGCTTGGAGGTGAGTTCGCTGTGTCGCTATCTTCTACAAAGCAACAGCAGATACTTGGAATGCCATTTGGCTGCTGAATTTGACTATTTATTAATTTTCTACCTGCTCCCTGCCAGTTAACGTTTAATAGGTCAGATTTTGTCTCCTATCCCACTGCAGGACTGAATCAATTGTAGTGAAGCCAGCAGAGCTTCACAAAAATAAAGAAAACCATTTTCCCTAACAAACACTTTGGCTTGCTGACTGTCTATGCTTTTCACCCCAGATGAATCCATGCAAAAGTTATTTGAAGGAGGAAAAGGCAGCGTATTCCAAAGAGTACTCTTGTGGATTCCTTCCAACAGCCATCAGCTACAGCTTGCAGGAGCATTGGCTATTGCAAATTTTGCCAGAAATGGTAAGAATATGCCATAATAGCTTATGTAAATTTATCTGTGCCATTCTATCATTCTCTGTTTGTACAGCTACAAACAAAAAATGGGTGTCATGGTAAAAAGATGGCATTGAGCTATACAGCAACATCAGTAGTTTTATATTTTGCAATCCTGAAAAGCACCAAGCCTACATTAAAAATACTGTTTCACATTTGCAGAGAGGTACAGGGGATTTCTGCCTTCTTCAGCATTCCTTATATCACTCATCTAAATTTGTCATGAGCACTGCAACTGCCATTGATGATGGTGGTCAGATTCTCAAAAATGAAATCTTAAAAGGAGCAAGGAAATAATCCTCCTATTTTTAAAAAGATCCTGTAAAAATCTTATTAATAATCTTCTGCTCCCAAGTAACTTGCCTTCTCTTGTGCAGATGGAAACTGCATCCATATGGTGGATAATGGCATAGTTCAAAAGCTGATGGATCTGCTAGACAGACATGTGGAGGACGGAAATGTAACTGTGCAGCACGCCGCACTGAGTGCTCTCAGAAACCTGGCTATTCCTGGTAAGCCTCACTTTGCATTGCTGCTTACCCGAAGGTGAAATTCTGTTCTCCCACTGCACCCATCTAGGGGATGAGGGTGGGAGAACTGACTGGCAGTCTAGAGGCAGGTCAGGCTGCTGCTTTTCATTCAGGCCCATCACTGCTTTCATGTCTTTCGCACAGCAGTGGTGACAAGCAGTTTTAAATACATCACAGGCCTACTGACTGTCATTTGCCACTTTAATCCCACAGTATTATCCCCACCAAGGAAAGGGCAGCTTTGTAAGAGGCAGAGAGCTGAGGAGGCCTCAGATATGATATCTCAGTCCTTCCTGTCTAAAGCACTGCATTTTTTTGGTTGTGGTTGTTCCATTTGGGATCTCTCTCACAGCTGAGGGTCCCACCAAAAAGCAGTGCCCAACTTGCTGAAATACTGCATCTTACTGTAACTTCCTGAGGCTTTGGCAGTTCCTAAATTAGAGCAGGGCGTACACTGTTAGAATAGCCAGCCCACTGCAATTAGTTACTATTTGTAGGCGATGAACTGAATGCTAATTCTGTCATTTTTAGTAACTTAATTTGTATAAATTTTGATTACCCAAGCATAAAAGGCAGAGCACATGCACACAGTAACAAAGCAAGTCTAATACTTGTGTATGCTGTCTCATGCCAAGCCAAAAAATAACTCTTTCATCCATTTTACCTTATTTTACTATTTTCAGTTTTGACAAATCATAAGCTTCTAAAACCAATCGTTCATACCTACCTAAACCCATACAGCTGAAGTGGTATGTTACTTGCTTACCTTACTCAGTTGAGTAATTCTATTAACTTCCATCAGTCAGCAAGCCTTCCTGTAGCCTATGCTCAGGGATGTCTGCCAGAGACCTACATAAAATTTCATGCCTATTATTACAGAAAAATGAGCAAGTAGGAACAGGCCTCCGTGATTAACTGCTTGTTAAACACCACTGACTGTGAAATAAGTACTTTTGTCTAAGTACAATACTGGACCAAGTTTGCACCTTACATACATTTCAGAGAGCTCTATGAAACTGGAGAACATAGATGAAGGAGTTGGGGGGAGAAGGGGGCAGTACAAGGACTACAGGCTCCAGACATGTCAGGCTACAATGTTGGAGGTGGGGAAGAGGTTATTTTGCCGATTGGATGCTTTAGTTCCTTTGCCTATGTGAAACAGAAAAGTGTTGTTGGGACTCAGAGAAGTTTTGTCATTTTGGGGTGCAAGTACTAGCCTGGGCTTCTACTTGAAGACTGCTCTGGAAGACCACTTTCCTAGGCCAAGAGGGAAAAGTCCAACCTTCAGTTTACATTCAGGCTGAACACTGAAAATCAGATGCACATGGTAGGAGAAAGCACTTAACTTCACACCTGTGTCTTAGCAACTGTGACATCTTTCCACAATACAGTTCTGTCAGCGCTCACTCACGTTCCTGGGGTCTGTGTTCCAAAGCTAGGTTTCAAACCATGCCTGAAAACTTGCTTCAAAACCACCTTGGAAATAAACTGTGTCTTCCAGAAATGCTCTTGAGATCATCCCTGTTCTTTATTCATGCAGTTGTAAATAAGGCTAAGATGCTATCAGCTGGTGTTGCAGAAGCTGTATTGAAATTTCTCAGATCGGAGATGCCCCCTGTTCAGTTCAAGCTGCTGGGAACATTAAGAATGTTAATAGATGCACAAGGTAAAAATAAACTGTTCTCTATGTTAAGTGATTCTCTTTGGTTCAGTCTGTCATATGCTGCCAAGATTCTTAAAAGGGAGAAGCAGAGGGGTTTTTAAGATTTTACTCCTGAAGTCTTGGAATAACTCTAATGCATATGGAAAGGGAGAGGAATGTGGGTTGATTTTTTGCCAGAACTCCTGAATTGACTACCAGGGACCCTCAGGATAGGTGTCAAATGCTTATTTACTTTTGTACATCAGAACTCTCCTACACTGTCACTTCACAACGGTGTATTGAGGCGTGTTTCAAGCTACCACTCCTGTTTTGCTGTTCACTTTCTGCACTTCCTGGG